CACACACACACACGCGCGCGCGCGCGCGCGCGCGCGCACACACACACACACATACAAGTACACAAGCACACACACACTCACATACACACCCATACCCATATTCTGGTACTCAAAAACGAACTTAACCATGATAGCACAAACACTTGAGATACATGTAGTTATATTATTATGCTTACGATAAGGCTCTTCGCTTTGTACACCAAACTTTTTGAGTACCAGAATGTGGGTTTGGGTGTGCATAGGTGTGTGTGTGTGTGTGTGTGTGTGTGTGTGTGTGTGTGTGTGTGTGTGTGTCCATGTTTACGTAAGTGTGCGCACGCGCCAGTTAATCATATTCAGCCAACTTTTTCTGTTGTTGAGAACACAAATCCATGAAGTTAATTAATTTTACAATTCTGAAATCGAAAAACAAACTTCATAGGCCTAATTGAGTTACTTTAAGTGATATCAAAATTTATTATGCTGAGACATAAAAATATCAGAAGCGAAACAATGATAACGGACTTGGGATTTTTTTTTAGTGAGATGGACTTTGCTAAAATCCATGTGGGACATGAAATGGTTTTCGGTGCAAAGTAACCTTGTACTGAAACTTATATTTATTTATCGTATCGAACCAAGCCTCCTCCCCCCCCCCCCCCCCCCCACCCGTCGAATTCCTTATTTATGTCAGTTCCATTATAGTATATTTATTGCTTTTGTCTTACGCTCTCACAGACACAATGTGAATGTTTTAGAAGTCATGCAGCTTCAACACTATCTGGTAATGTCAAAACAGTTTAGGAGAACACGACTACATGCCGGTAGAGAGATGTAATATTAATACTCGACAGAATATTTGATTCTTGTGGGAATTGAACTCACAGTTTTTAGCGTGCAAGGCATTAGAGTACACATACCGGGGAATAGTTTCCTTATGAGACACAGTATAATATTGATTTTGTTTTAAGGGCATCGGACGTGGTCACTTTGCACCTGACACTCGCGTTATATTATTGACAAAATTACACATAGCTGGCTTGTGGACATGTAGAGAACATCTTTCCTTCATAATTATTAATCTGGACAGTGTCTAAGCAATATCAATTTTTTGACAAGTGATGTTCAACCGATAAGGCTGTTGACAGATGGAAAGAAGCTGCAGATGCTATTTTTTAAAGTGAGGAGAAATGACAAAAATAAATGACATCAGATCTGATATGAATGGATTAGAACAAACAGCCTTGAAAAATTATAGAAAGATTTAAATAAAACTTTAAAAACGTGAACCTGAAAGGAGCAAGCAGGTTAATTGAGAAATGTTGCATTTGTGTATCCGGTATCCATTATTTTATCTGGAGAAGAATCACAGAAATCGATGTACAAAAAACTGGGAAGACATGGAATAACATCAAGAGTCTAGCCCAGGATAGAGAAAGGTGGAAGGTGTTTGTCTGTGGCCTATACCCGGGTGCAGGGTGAGAAAGGCAATGATGATGATAATGATGATGATCTTCCATGGGTTATGATTTGTCTGAACACACAAGTATCTCAACATTGCAACGTTTCAATGTAATAAGTATAAGAAAATTTCCAAACCTTTTAATAGAAGAATAATACACCCAAACATACTAATATGACATTATCTGAAAAGAAAGTACTGTGTATACTTTAGGCTATCTCCTCCCCCTCATTCCTTTTATCTTCTTCCTACTCAACGGAACAGATAGCTCCGCTTTTGAGAAACGGGTATATCTAGTAAGGTATTTCCTCATATAAAAAGTGAATGTATGTATATATTTTAAAAGGGGGGGGGGGGTCTACACCTCCAAAGTCCCTATTGCAAGCTGAAGAATCAGTAGCCGAATACTCCCGCGATCTTGCAGAGAAGAAAAAGAAATAGTAAGATTTGTAGACAACCTATTGTTGGAATAGAGAGATGTAATATTAAATGGAGCCATTCCGAAGACTGAAAAAGGAGAAGTACGGTGAAATTTGATTACCCGATCATTCTTTGTGCTCCAATGGTCTTCTAAACATAGGGATAAGTAATAAGTAAGTATTAATTGTGTATTTATGTAGGACACGGTAAAACAAATTTCTGAAGGGGATACATCAAGTTGAATTTGTCTCTCTATATATATCATTATTTATTTATAGTTTTGTTTAGTTCTTTTAGTAGGGACGAGATATAATATTGCGAAGAGGGTATATAGCTTTGGATAAAGCTTACTTATCGGCGTAGCTAACAAGTCTTGAATCAAGGCTTTCCCCAAGAATGCCTGTCCGCAAGATCACCCTGACCAGTCGTGTTATCACACACACACACACACAACACACACACACACACACAAACACACACACACACACACACACACACACACACATACACACACACACACACACACACACACACACACCGTAGAAGTGGACAAAAGGGCAGAGTGCCCCCAAAAAGGATATTATTTACTCAAAACGGTCAGCGAACACTTCTGGTTTCATGCCAAATTACGATGTGGGTGATCAAAGATCGGAATGTCCAATGTAGCATTCCTCAACGAGAGTAGCTCTAACATAATGTTACCTTCCCTACACCTGCCGCTAACAAATCGGACAAAACAGTCACATCCGAAGTCTTGCCTCTCTCTGCGATAACCTATCTATGTTCAAAGAGGAGTTAAAAGTACTACATGTATAAGTTGATGAACTAACAACATACTACAACGTTGTTTCATCATTCAAAGGGTGGCTTTTCATGCCTGGAACACATAAAAGAAAACGTTAAGAAAATTACAAATAGCAGATTGCGCAAAGACACAACGCACCATATCCGCCGCTCCATTGCTGTCTAGGCCTACTACATTAGGAAATGAGCTTTAATATATTTAACTATTTGAATGCGATGTTTGTACAATTTTCTATACGGTATAAGAAAACTTTCTTCACGATTTATAACGTTTCTAGTGGCTGTTTTTTAGTTTATACAGAATATAGACTCAACATAGCGAGAACTTACACCAGGTAAGTAAGTGTTCTTTCTAGCCCATTCCCAACTCTTTGGTCCGCAGGTATATTTGGCATGTAGTCTAATACGCCTCCAGGTAAACGTCCCACTTCTTGCCCTGGTCGTAGAAGTGGACTAGGAGTGAAACGAGGTGTGTATGCGTGTATGTGTATGTGTTGGATTTCTCTGGCCCAACTTGATGCATGTCGTTAGATCTATGTTTTCGCTATTGTTGTGTAGGTCATATTTCTGTTGCACAAGTACTTGTTTTTGTTGCTGTTTGTCGCTGTTGCAAGATGAACAAATTATTCCTTCTGTTGCTATACATTCGAAGACTACTGAGGAAAAACTAGTGTTTGTGTAATGCCATCTTTCCTGACAAAGTGAAAATTAATTTATATTCAAAGACTTTCTGTTACTTTCAAATGTAAAATTCTAAGAAGTATCTATGTTTTACTGTTGAAATATTCAGCGTCTGTGACAAACTGGGCAGCCCCCAAAGAGGTGTGCATATGTGTGTGTTTGCTTTGTCTGACCCAACAAATTGAAACATGTCATCATTCTTCCGATTTTGTTGTGTATATATAATGTCTGTTACAGAGGTACTTAGTTTAATTGCTCTGTGTCGATATTGCAAGATTAACAAGTTATTCCTTTTGTTGCTATACATTTGAAGACTACCGACGAAAAACTAGATAAGCATATTGTGTAATGCCATCTTTCCCGACAAAGTGAACCTTTATATCAAGAGACTTTCTGTTACTTTCAAGTGTAAAATTCTTAGAAGTGTTTGTGTTATACTGTTGAATTATTAATTTAGTAGTTATTTTAGACAGATTTCATCTTTTTATATCATGATCGTGTGGTATAGTGAGGGTTTGAAATCAAAGGATTATGGTTTGGACATGACCGGTTTTTTCTATTGTGTTTATTTGTATTAAAGGTGTTGTTTCTTTGTTATCTTTGCTATCACATGTTCCTCGTGTTAATTAAATGTGCAGGTAGCCGTGGTGCACTGATTCAGGCATTGGATCTTCCACACAGATGATTCTGGTTCACCTCCGTTTCGGTTCACAGCATTTCATCATCCTTCCCGGAACATTAACTTTTAGCCCCGTCTCGGTTTTAGCTTATAGTCCGTAAGGTTGACGAAGTGCTCCGTCTTAGAAAACGTCTGACCACACTGTTTATAAGAAAAAGCGCATATTTTTAAATGAAAATCGTGTTATCGTTGTTGTTATAAAAGGTGCTGCGATTTTCACTTCTGTAAGTAGATCTATTTACAGAATTTGTGTTACTTGTTGTTAAAGCTGCTTTTGTGAAAATTACTTTCTTTTGTAATATCACGTTTTATCGCAACTACTAATATCGTTGTAAAGTGGGTGGTTGGCGGGTGCTCTGGTGTGGTTTGCTTCTTCTTTCCTATCGAACATTTATCCTCCTTATCTCCCTTTCTTCTGTTTAGGTTTGTTACTCTCTGGCATCTACGCTCTCTGGTAACACCTCTAACCTTCTGGCGCTCATAATATGACCTTATGCAGTTGCGAGCGCCGAAAAACCTCTACTAAAATAAATGTAAAGTTTGGAATTTTGTTGCCTGTTTATTGTCATTGTGTTGTTGGTGTCGTCGTCATGGTCGTCGCTTTCACGATATTGGGAGCCCATTTGTGTTGCCATTGTCAGTGTTTATGTTGTAGTCTTTTCTGCAGTTGCATCAGTGTATATTGAACATGTTTTCCTGACTGCCCTTCTATTGGGGCGTCTGTAGCCTAGTGGTTAGGCTACCGGACTCGTAATCGTGAGATTGTGATGTCGGTGGCCTAGTGGTTAGGCTACCGGACTCGAAATCGTGAGATTGCTGGTTCTGGGGTTCGAGCCTCAGCTCGGACCGACGTTGTGTCCTTGGGAAAGGCACTACTTTACACGAACTTCCCACTTGGCTCGGTCCTATCGAAGACGGACGTTAAACTAGGAGGTCCCACCCCCTTAAATAACCTAATAGTGTTGATAGGGGCGTTAAACCCATACCATTTCACCATCTTGACCTTGTCTTGGCAGTTGGATATGTAATCTAAACATCGGTTTCAGCCTCTTTTTCCATCTTTTTTATTGGTGAAAAAAACTTAATAAAACATACAATTGCATAATATGTTAATTATTTCTTTGCAGTGTTCTGTCTACCGGCGTCTGTGGTGTAGCGGTTGCTAATTTGCTATTGCACCCTAGGGACTCGAGTTTGATTCCTGTGTGGGGAGAAGATTTCTATCAGGTATCTCAGTCTGTCTGCAGGGATGTTGAATCCCTTTGAGTCCGGGTTGACCCTGACAAGCAAGGTTGGAAGCACGCCTCCTAAATGATCTAAATGGTGTCGATGGGGGCGTTAAAAAGCACCTACATTTTAAAGTCTACTGTCGACATGATGCCTTTATTCCCCTCACCCATGCTCACTGTCTCCTATCCCTCCCTATCTCTCCACCCATCTCTCCACCACCCCCCTTCTCTGTCTCTCTCTCTGCCTCTCTCTCTCTCTCTCTCTCTGTCTCTCTGTCTCTCTCTCTCTGTCTCTCTCTGTCTCTCTCTCTCTCTCTCTCCACTCTCATGCGTGATGGGCAAACTCTTCACTATGGTCTGCTTCTTAACGTTATTTTTTATGTAGCTTTTATCCTTTTGGATCTCGATGTTTATTCTATAACAAAAATAAGACACAAAACTCCGCCGTACCATGTGAAATGTGGTCGTACTATTCATTATCATTCTAATTTTTCATAAATCCTGGCTGAAGTCTGTTCAACTTCTGTTTCTCCCTAGATCAAAGCAAGAGACGTTATAATCTGACACCACTGGCGACATGGACACCACAAGTATTTTGTTGGCTCTGGTCATCGTTCTGGTCACAGTCTACGTAATGTGGGGTTACCTGTCCAACAGAGGACTCCCACCCACGCCAACTATCGCGCTGCCTGTTGTGGGACATTTGCTTTCCCTCAACCCGCAGGATCCTCGAAGTCAGATGCAAAAATGGAGAGAGAAAGTGGGGGATGTTTTCAGGTATTGTTTTATTTTCCTTTTCGGACAGGAATTTGGAAGAGGGGCAAAAGTAGGATTGGGAAGGGGTAGGAGCAGGAGTAGGAAACGCATTAATATTACTAAACATTTTGCGTTGTAAATAAATGATTGCTGTCTATTTTTGCTTTGGAAAATGTACGTTTTGTGACTATCAGGGTATTGTGCCAATAACCACATCTATATTTATTCAGTAACCTCTACTGATAACAAGGTATATCGGATTTCTTATTTCTAGACATTGACGTAATTCAAAGAGAACCAATTTTCTTTAATAAAAAGTAGCTGTAGCATGAAAATCAATATCCCTTAACGGAGTTACAACCCCCCCCCCCCACCCACGAAAATACGGGTTTTGAACGCAATGCTTTGAAAACAGTTTAGATACTACTCCGGTGGAAAAAGGGCGTATCGAATAACCTTGTTACCGAAAATTAGTTCGTTTTGAGCCACGTTTATTGTCTAGAAGTAAGAAATTCCGATATACCTTTTTTAACAAAGCACACTCTATAGTAGTGATTCCTTTCAGTAGGTGAGAGTTAAAGTACATTTGAACTCTATGTGCACTCTATTTGATACTGTAGTATGAATAATTAAAACCGTTTTGAGAGATCATGTTCAAATTAATGTGGATGATAAAACAACTGTCTTTTAAAGAAAACGAAAAAAAATACCCTGATAAATTTGCTACACTTTCAGCTTGCGCCTGGGCCCCACAGTGTTCATAGTACTCAACGGGTACGACGCAATCAAGGAGGCGTTTGTGAAAAGAGGAGACGATTTCTCAGACCGCCCATTCTTTTACTTTGACTGGGTACGTTCACCCTTTTATTTTCTCGCATTTGCCACATATTACAATCTTTTATAATTGGGAACTAGATAGGAACATTTCCACGCGGCCACAAACCCCCCCCCCCCCAATTAAACCTTAACTTATTCTTCTCCAATTACGGGCTTTAGTAACACCTCATTCAAATTCTTTTCTTTCCATGAAATTCTCAGTAGTCTCCGAAGAAACCCCATTTCTGTTGCATTTAGTTGATTTTCACTCTCTTTAGTAGTTATCAAGCATCATATAATAGATAAACGATAGCATTTGTATAGTGCAAATCCCCGCTCAACAACAAGCTCTACTAGCTTCACAATCGATACTATTACCTCAGCAGACCTGAAAGCATTCTGAGACAACCTCAACTTCCTGGGAAGTATACAGTGCAAGCAGCCATTTATAGGCACTAAACACTAACATACTGACAAGATCTTTCACAGTCTATGGCCGGGTACCCATTCCCACCTAGGTGAAGTGAGGAAAATTCGTGTAAAGTGCCCTTCCCAAGGACACAACGTCGGGCCCGCGGCTCGAACCCCTGAACCCGCAACAAAAGGTTTCCCAATGGCCTTTGCTAAAACCCTGGACACATGGTGTGCAATTCTTGACTATAATATTATGTATACCATTCACTTGCTTACTTTTTCTGCCAACCCCTCTTTCGTTTCGTATCCGACATATCCGGAAATTTATGTTGTCTCCGTTCTCAAACAGTTCATCAACTTACGAAATGGCACGGTGTGACTCCAACAAGCACATTTGAACACTGTCCCTGTTTTCAAGAGGCAGGGTCTCCAATCCTTCACACCCCCCCTCTTTCAGTATGACCGACTCGCGAGAGCAGATAATTTGCTCCAATGTTACCTTAACAACCACAGTTCAAGAAGAATGCCCTATTTATAGTTATATTCGAGCCTTGGTCATTTGCATTGTAGTCCAGTGATGCCATTTCATTAGATAAACACCCCTTTAGTGAAACTGGTAAATTCAAGTCATCTTTGGTCTAAACTACAGAATGTTTTGCTTACTTTCCCCTCATAAAAATTGACATTTTCCTTTCCGAACGACGGTGTGTACCCTAGACGTAAGCTATGGTAGTATTCTTTGATATTCTTGCTCAATCAATAAGTCGGTTTGTTCAAAAGTATTTGTCATATAGAATGATTACCCCCCCCCCCCAAAGCCCGGAGCCTCAGAGACTGAGGGGTCTGGGGGGCAGAAGTCGTATCCCTTCCAGCCCACCCCACCCGGACGAGCCTCATAAAATGAAAATGTTTTATTACACCGTTCATCCATAATCCAAATAATACGAGCAGGGGCGAAGGCTGACTTGTTTGACAGGGTAATCAAAGTGAGATGGGACCAGATATAGGGCCTGGAGATATAGATCTATCACACACGAATCCTACTCGAGGCAGCATCCATGAGTTGTGAATGAAAACAAATCCTGAATTCATGTTGTTGTATACCTGTTCAACCGCTAAAATAATCGGGAAAGTATCTCTTTAAATATTTATTTCAACAAACATTAAATTTATCTTTAGATGTGAATACACTAACACAAAGCAAAGAAGCAGAGATGTCAGTCAGTACTTCAGTATGTAATACCAATACAAGTGAGACTAAACTCTTTGGTAGAACATGACAATTATTAATTTTTTAATTTCACATTTGGTTGTTTTTGTCTCGCGTTTCGCGGCCAGGAGCCGGTGTCATAATCGAGGTCACGATCTGATTATAGGACGGTAAAAAGTCGAAGGAAAAAAACCCAGCACTCGCAGCAGTCAATATATTATTAGGAGTTAGTTCCCCTCACATCTGTGAGGTAGACTCGACCAGTGTAATAGTTCGCTTACATAATTAATGCTTGAGACTGATTACAACTGTGGCCCGAAAGGAATGAACAGGGTATATGTATCAATGGAATAGTTTTGACTGTTGCACACATGTTCCCTTCAACAATTTTGGTAGACTCTTCCAGCCTCACTGTAAGTTTACATAATCAAATCTTGCGACTGTTTATAGAGTGACACGATAGGGATGAACAGGCTATTTCTGTGACAATGAAACCGTTTTGAATGTTAGGCATACTGTTCATTGGTGATTTTGAGCGTCTTTTTTTTTACATTTAATTTATGAGGTTTACGTCTATGGGTGAATTTGACTGCGACAATGTTTCAAAATTAGGAAGGGAAGCAGTGATTATTTGATTATACAGACGCTTCGCCACTGAATACGAGTATTATGTCATTATCAGTTTGGCTTCCCTTGATTTTTTTCTGTTTCTGTGAAAGATATTATGTTTTTCTTCCTTCTTTCAACAGGCAGTGAATTACCACGACCTGGGCATTACCCTGTCATCAGGCCCAAACTGGAAACATCAGCGATCAGTGTCTCTAAGTATTCTCCGAGACATGGGCATGGGTAAGAACGTTTTGGCTGAGACGATCCAAGACGAAGTGTCGCAGTATCTCGCACGTCTCAGCAAGCTGAAAGAGAAACACGACATCCGCCTTCTAACAGGCGTCAGCGTAGCAAACGTGCTTTGTTCTATGCTAGTGGGGCAGAGGTTTGACTACGATGATCCGACATTTAAAAGAGTCGTAGAGCTGGTTCACTACAACTTATCACATCTGCTGGGCGTTGGGCCAACTCTCCTCAATATGTACCCTATTTTACACTACCTGCCTGGTGACATTTTCAACACCGATATTATCATGAAAAACAGAAAAGAGGTTGGTGAGCTGTTTGTCCATTATTTCAAAGATCTTAAAGGTCATAAAGAATACAGCGAAACAAATATGGATAGCTTTATCGCTAACTATGTGTTTGAGAAAAGTAAGAAGGAAAACAGTGGGCAGGCTACCTATCTAGACGACAAAAACTTGACAAAGGTCATAGAAGATCTTCTTGGAGCAGGAATTGAAACAACTAGTAATACCATCAGCTGGTTTCTCCTCTACATGTTGCACTACCCTAAAGTACAGGAAAAAATCTTCAAAGAGATCGAATCAGAAATAGGCACTGGGAGGTCCCCAACCATGCATGACAAAACCAAGCTGAAATATCTGAATGCTGCAATTATGGAAACTCAGAGAATTGGAAACACTGTCCCTATGGGTTTAACTCATATGTGTGCTCGAGATACTACTTTCAGAGGGTTCAAGATACCAAAGGGGGCAAATGTTATTGGAAATATGACGTCAGTATTTTTCGACAAAACAGTTTGGGGGGAGGACGTGGATACTTTCCGACCAGAACGTTTCATTGACGATATTGGTGATCTAAAACACTTCGAAGAATTTATCCCATTTTCGATCGGCAGGAGAGCTTGTCTTGGGGAAGCCATGGCGAAGATGGAATTGTTTCTGTACCTTTCATCAATGTGTCAGCGATTTCAGTTTTTATCGCCAGACCCAGATGCCCCACCAAAGATAACTGAAGTGGTTAACATAACAAGAACACCAGGGCCTTTTGAAATCAAAATTGTTGACCGACTGTCATGAATTAGCTAATAATTTGAGCGCTGAGTTCCAGAACAGAATTTTGTAGGGGATAGTTATAGCGTAGTGCATGTAAGAATATTCTGCTTTTACGGCTAGGCTTACACTTTAGCACCCCCCTAATAACATTAATATCTTTTGCTGCAGTCTTCCGTAAGGACACCCTTTTGTTTAAATAAAACAATATTTTTGACAATTTCGGACTTCACTTTGATTTGAACCTTGAATTTTTCGATTTTAGAAAGACCCCTAAGTGATATACTCTATAGTGAGGTTTCTAGCCAATGCCAAGAATCGCACTTCCCAACACTTCTCCCAAATAAGTCCAATTCATATGCTTTTCATATATTTTAACATGGCCTCCTGTTTCATTAAGAATTCAAAGAATAATAAAATAATAGTTATAATTAAGACCACAAACAAAAACAAAATTTAGAAGCAGCATAAACATATTACAAAGAGATCTTGTATTACAGAACAATGTGACAAAGTCCAAGTTAACTATTACAATGTTATGACGTACGCAGGGGTAAAGCGTCTACTTAATCAAGTAATCACTGCTTCCCTTCCATTATTTACTAGGAACGTCGTCACCGTCAAATATACCAATAGAAAGTAGGTCAAATAAATGTCAAAGCTGTCAGTGAGCTGGCCATCATGTACACCCCTACAACTTGTCCCTTCGTACATGCTCTTGATGAAGTTCACCAACTTCTGTGGGATTCCGAGGTGTCTCATTATCTTCCATAGTGTTTGCTCGGTCTATATTGTCAAAGGCCTTCTCTTAGTCAAGGAAGCTGACGATCAGCTGGAAGTTCCACTCCTGAGACTGTTCCACAATGACCCTCAGCATGGCAATCTGGTCGGTGATTTCTCGGGAAACCAGCCTGTTCTTCCCGTAGTCTTCGATTTGTCGTCTTGATTCTCTCCAGAATGATTATGTTGAAGACCTTACCTGGTATTGAAAGAAGAGTGATCCCTCTGTAGTTGCAGCAGTTGCTGAGATCCCCCCTTTTTGGAAGCTTACGACGTGTCCTTCTTTCCAATCATTTGGGAACTTGCTCCCATTCCTGATCCTGGCAAACAGTGGGAGGAGGAGGAAATATGCCGTCACATTGGCATCTGCTTTTAGGGCTTCAGGTGGAATCTGATCTAGACCGGCTTTACCTTCCAGCTTCTTAATAGCATCCAGAATATCTTGTTTTGAAGGAGTATCACAGCAGATTGGTAACTCGTTTCTTGCTGGCAGTGTGTTTGGCGGGTTACTCGATGGTGGTCTGTTCAGGAGACTGTTGAAATGCTCTACCTATAGTTTAGACTGAGCTTCCTTTCCAAAAATGATTTTCCCGTCTTTGTCTTTTACTGATACTTCAGGTGTCCCGTATTTTCCAGCAAGAGTCCTTGTGTTCTGGTAAAAGATTCGCGCGTGCCCTCCTACCCGCTGCTTCCTCTGCCTTTTCTGCCAGCCTGTTCATGGATTCGTCCTTGTCTTTTCTTAGTGATTTTTTAACATCCTTACTACATCATAACATTAAAAAATTAATTGTGTGTTTGATTTATTATAGTCAGGCCAATACTGCTATTATCATCATCGTCATTATTATATTATGTTGACTGATTAATTATGTTAATCATCATTATTGTATTTGATGCTGTTATAACGTGTGAGGGAATTCGATCACAACATGACGGCTCTCTTTGGATGATACAATTCTGCTGACGTTTTGTTATCGTTCTCTTGTGTCTTGGGGCCGTTGGATTGCTGAAATCTGCACCATGCAGCTGTCTCCCCCTCTGACAGTCATGGGCTGGGGCTAGGAGACTTTGATGTTGTGTTCGGAAACATGTCAGTTTGTCAGAGGCCTAGTTTGTCATAGGCCCAGTTTGCCATACGCCTCGACTGTGCCTTGCACGATGAAAGTTATCACTGACACTGTCAAAAAGATGCAGAGGGGAGAAGGAAGAAAGGAACGATTATCTGGAAAGGAAAGACGTTGCCATAATCAGACAGTCACCGGAACAATCGGTATGGATACCTAGCGGGCTTTCGTGCTGGGGGGTGCTGAGCACTTGTGGACCTGTCCGGTGTGCAATGAAGTTGTTGCCCAGGACAGGTAATACAGTTCTCTCTTTAAAAAAGTAAATATTGAATTTCATTTTTCAATTGTTTTAAAGAAAGAATTTTCATTATTGAAATTTTACAGAGTAATTTGCTTTGATTTGCATTCAAAAAGGAAGAAATATTGAACAAAACTAGCCGAATTGACATTTTAGAGGGACTATCTCTACACAACCAATTTGAAGGTGGAGAGTTAAAAACGTAAGTTACAACTAAAGTGTTAAAGTTTTGTAATTATGACTGTCATCAATACGCAAATACTTAAATGAAATTGCTACAAACTGGGCCGGTGACAAACTGGGCAGCCCCCGTTGTGTTCATTGTCATGCACGTTTGTCCTGGGCAAGGATAGCTTGCCGGCGCCCATCACTCCCCAGACTTGATTGTGTACGTATTCTGACCGGGTTCCCCCCCCCCCCCTACTTTTTAAGGGCTCTTGCCTTCAGCCAGAAACATTCCGATTTCGAAGGTACACTAACTCTGGGGGTTAATAGTTTAGCTTGTAAAGCACATAAAGAGTGAGAATATGTCACTACACTTTGTAATGCTATTTTCTGTATTACATTACTAAAAATATATAATGCAGACCGGAATTATAAAAGAGATGTACCCACACATAAAGAATAAGCTGGGTAGTTTCAAATATTGCATAATTATAAAAAGTATGATAATGCCTTTCATTTCTTGGTATGCTATGGGTTCGACACAACTTTAACAATTGTATGCCCGTGAAAGTGGCACTGCTCTCCCCTTATAAAACCCTTCTCCTATTGGGTTAGCAGAGATGGACTATTAAACGTCTTGAACATTCCTCAAAACAAGCCAAGCTCGAAAACGCCCAGGCAGTTTCGGGATTTGAACCACGGTCAACCGTGCTGAAGTACTGCATTATAACAAAGAAGCATCCAATGAAATTTTAAAGCCGTACGATCTCAGATACGTAATTGAATTCAAATTCACTAAATTGTTGCATTGATAAAGTCGCGCAATTTGACTCTCGCTTTCCCCTCCTACATTTCCCTATCATGCATAATATGATGAGGTATTTTTAGCTGCTACCATACGAAATCCAGTGTAATGAGAAATAAAAAAAACGTGCTTATGTTCATTGTATTCTGTGGTTTTGAGAGTCTATCTATCTATCTATCTATCTATCTATCTATCTATCCATCCATCCATCCATCTATCTATCTATCTATCTATCTATCTATCTATCTATCTATCTATCTATCCTCTCTTAACCTCCTTCTCTCTATATTTATTTATACACACACACACCCATACACACATACACACACACACATACACACACACACACACACACACACACACACACACACACACACACACACACACGCATTCCTGTACTCCAAAATGAGCTTAACCAAGATAGCACAAGGCACAAACACTTGAGATATATATATATATTGTTTGGCTTATATAACATAGATTCTAATACCTTACGGTTAGACTCTTTGCTTCGTACGACACGTTTTTGAGTACCAGAATGTGTGTGTGAGTGTGTGTGTGTGTGTGTGTGTGTGTGTGTGTGTGTGTGTGTGTGTGTGTGTATCCATGTCTACGTAGGTGTGCGCGCGCACGCGAGTTAATCATATTTAAGCAACTCATTCTATTGTTGAGACAGAAACCCATGAAACTAATATTTACACTTCTGAAATCGAAAAACAAAGTCCACGATTGAATTGGTTGAAGTGATATCAAAATTTATTATACCGAGACATAAAAATTGCAGAAACGAAACAATGATAACGGGCTTGTTTTTAATGAGATGGACTTTGCTAAAATCCATGTTGGACATTAAATGGTGTTTGGTGCAAAGTAACCATGTCCAAAAACTTATATTTATTTATCTCAGAAAAATCCCCGAATTCCTTATTTATGTCAGTTACATTTTTCTGTATTCATTGTTAATGTTTTAGGCTCCCACCGACACAGAGTGTATGTTTTAGAAGTCGCGCGACTTCAGCACTCTCTGTCAAACTGACTGGTGGGGAATGCGACTGCTTTCCAGTACAGAGACGTGATAAATACTCGACAGAATAACTAATTCTTGTGGAAATAGAACTCACAGCTTTTAGCTTGCAAGGCTTTAGAGTACACATCATCATCATCAACCAGTGCTTTGCCGACTGGCGTGGGCGATCATGGACATCCTCATCACTCTGTCTTGCATTGAAGCTATGGTGTGTGTTATTCTTGCTGCTCCTAGCCATGTTGTCATCTTGTCCAGTATCTTTTCACTCTGTCTGCCTCTGCCTTTTTTTCCATCGAACTATCTTGTTGTTACAATATTCTGCAATGCTTCTTTCCGCATTGTGTGCCCGAAGAAGAGTACACATACCTTGGGATAGTTTCCGTACGAGACGCAGTATGATATTGATTTTGTTTAAAGAGTATCGGACGTGGTCACTTTGCACCAGACACTCACGTTATATTATTGACAAAGTTACACATAACCGGCCAGTGGACTTGTAGAGAACGTCTTTCCTTCATATTATGGACAGTGTCTAAGCAACGGCAACTTTATGACAAGAGATGTTCAACTTAGGTGATGGAAAGAAGCTACAGATGCCATTTTTTAAAGTGAGGAGAAACGACAAAAATGAAATACATCTGAAATGAGTGGATCATAGGGAACCACCTCAAAATATCTGACAAAGATTCAAAATAAAAATGAAAAACGTGAACCTGGAAGGAGCTAGCAGGTCAATTAAGAAGTGTTTTAATTTATGTTTCCACTATCCATTATTTCGTATCGTAATTCTTCAGTGGGTTATAATTAAAATTTGTCTTGAGACACAAATATCTCAATATATGACAATACATCAATGCTATACAAAGTGTCGGAAAATTAAAAATCCCTCTTGTAGTAGAATAACACACTCAAATAAAATGATATAATACATTCTGAATAGAAGGTGTCAGGCATACTTATGTATCTCCTTCCCTTAATTCCTTTTTTCTTCTTTATAATAGTTTAGTTTCGCATTTGAGAAACATGTAGGTCTATGTTTATGTCCTCATGAAAAAAATGAGTGCATTTGTATTTTGAAAGCGGTAATGAATTCTACTCAAATAATACTCATACAAATTCAACTCTAATAATAAAACAGACCAGCTCAAAAAGTGAAACTGCTTTTTCTTCGGGGTCTTCGTGCGTGGTCCGGGTTTGAACCTCGGCTGTGCTGGCGTGATGCCCAGGGAAGGAAGATGAACTCTACAGCCACGTGCCACGCTTGGAATGATTACTCAACAAAGGATATTGTTATATAGTATGTAACAGGAATGGAGGTCTAGACACGTCCACTCAGCTCATTTAGATAACATCATTGACACAAACTCTGGGGAAGAAAAACAAACAGTAATGGATGAAATATAAAGAAAGAAAACACAATGTTTGTTAAAATTAAGCAATCATTTAGCATGATTTCACGATTTTTTAATCATACCTACGAATTAGGCAACTGGCTTGGATTGACTATTTTTTATTAAGATTATTGGCACTTGAAGGTTACAAACCCATTGGTGCGTACTTATTTTATATCACAATTTTTATGTGGTCGAAAACTTTATTTTTCTTAATGAATATATAGAATGGACTTTAATGGATATACACTATAACTCAAATTGCACAGTTGTGAACGTATAGTCTCTCGCGACAGAAGTGATCTGCCTGGTAATAATTAAAACAATGCAAGTGATTAAAATGCGTCATTCAACGTTAAGGTCTTTACCGTTAAAAAATCAGGATCTTCAGCAATTACTTTAAATGTGTTATCCTATTTTAAGATTTATAAATTTTATATCTGATACGCTTCAGCTGAGGATGAAATTCTAGCGTCGACAGAAAAGGGAAACTCGTTAGTCGCAAATGAGGTACACGCTTTTATCCGTTCGGACTTTAATTGTGCAAGAATGGACGGTGGATAACTTGAGCAAATACATGTACGTGATACATACACATTTTCTTAACCCTATCCGTACGTCGTGTTTTACTGTCGTATCCATACGACGTGGGGAGCTCTGTGCCATCACTTTACAAAGAGGAAATTTACTCGTTAATCCGATCCGTCCGCTTTGCATTGCAGTCTATCAAAATGATTTTTCGAGAAATACTGAAAGTTTCAAAGTGATCTTCGAGCTAGAAGTATTCTAAAAATGCGAAGAATGCAACCCCGGGGTACAAAATGACCCCAAGGCGTACGGCATAAAGAATAAATCGTAGGTTTCCCCTCTCATCTCACTCACCCTCGTAGTTGACCTGCCCGTCACCGTCCACGTCCGCCTCCCGGATCATCTCATCCACCTCCTCGTCCGTCAACTTCTCCCCCAGGTTGGTCATCACGTGACGTAACTCAGCGGCCGAGATAAAGCCATTGCCGTCCTTATCGAAAACCCTGGAAACGCGACAAAGCATTTTGAAATACTTCTGCAGATTGTTTGGTGCATGTTAACACAAACTATTTTTGTATCATGTACGTTGAACATTAAAATTTGCTTGAAACAAAACTGAATCCAAAACACAAGAATAATCCAACTGGGACGTTTGGTTAATTATATCACTTTTTGCGTATCGTGCTATTGTTGTTGTAGCTGTTGTTGTAGCTGTTGTTGTTGTTGTTGTTGTTGTTGTTGTTGTTGTTGTTGTTGTTGTTGTTGTTGTTGTTGTTGCTGTTGTTTTCAAACGGTGAAGAAACTTATCTGCAATGTTCACCGGGTATAACAGTATCAAGCACCAAATAATATTTGCACCATTGACAATTTTTGCTTTGATAACAGAGCTAGGGAAGGGACGTAAGACAGACAAGTTTTGTTCTGGCACAGTTGTTGCCCCTGTAACAGAAAGCCAACTGTTCTTTGAATCATAATTTATTGTGTGCAGGCAGAGAGTCCTGCCATCGTTAAGTGCGTAAACAACGAATGGTCCGGCCACCCGCATGTCCCACATCCCGTGCAGTAGTAGCGTGTGTAGTGAGCCTTTTTTTTACTGGGGAGGCGAAAAATGTTATCACATTATATACTATTCGTTCCCAACCACTTGCAGGTAAGCCACCAAGGGCCTAGGTGATTTTATCGGCCCGCGAGAGGTCAGGGGGGAGTCCTCGCCTCATGCCCTCACAGGGGTGGGAGCTATTCTCACCCGGGGGGGGGGGGGGGGTTGAGAATAGCGAGTCATGGATTATTCTCACCCAGGGTGAGAATAAAGGCGGCCTTTCTGTAAACGGATGGACATTGATTCTGAATAGGCCTTGGTCTACTGAGTAAGCAAAACTGCTTCGTCAACAATACGTATAGGTCTAAATATAGCGTGCTATTCGTCAAGACCAAGAACAAAATAACTATTATTATTATTGGATTCTTCAGAAACAATATGCTTAAATTGACTTTTACCTGTTGTATGTTATTTTTTTTCTTTGATTGTTTCGATCCCTGTGTCAGACGTAAAGGAGTGCTCACCTGAAAGCCTCACGAATTTCTTCTTCAGAATCAGTGTCTTTCATTTTCCGGGCCATCATCGTCAAGAATTCAGGGAAATCAATTGTTCCGTTGCCTGGAAAAGAAAGTATCCACGCACATTAGACCTGGAATCGTATTATAATGATTGCAATTGTAGATGTTTTAAACCTGCATCGACACAATTTAGGTAATTTAGAAAAAGTACTCCTTTGATTCTGTAGGTCAGGGTCAACCCGAGCTGATTGGATTACAACATTCCTGCAAATAAACAAAGATCTCGCTTGCCCTTTTAAACTCCCAATTGAGCATAGGCCATCAACAACATTTCTCCCACTGAAGCCTGTCCTGTGCATCCTTTTCTAGCTGTTTCCATGATGTCCCCGCCTTTTCCATTTCCGAATAGACAAAGATACTCGATGAAAAGTATCTCTTCACAGCAATCGTACTCACGTCTTCTGAGTGTAATGGCGAAGCTCCTTACCTTTACATCACATACCCCGGCGATCTAAGGTTATGAGAGTTCAACTTGATTAAGAAAAAGTAAACTTAAACCTCTAAAGCCTCCGAGAATCAAGGCGAATCACGGCCCATTTTTTCCAACTCATTTTAGACATAGCGACAGACAACCTGTTCAGATTATATCATATGATTTATTACACAGTTATTATTACTGTGACCCTCTTTTAAATACAATTGGCCATGCAATTCAAAAGTTTGCCTTTACCAAAATTAATGTTTTTAAAAGGGGAAAAAAGGGAACGAACAACCACTTTCAACTAGTAATATTAAGAAAACTCTTAATTTGTTTCAATAGTTTGCCTTGGCATCTAAAAAAAGGCAAGACATAGAACACAATTCAAATTTTCTTGTGCAGCTATTTCCTTCTAAAGTTGAATTATAGAGATCTGTCTGTCTCCATATTTTCAGATCTTCTAATCAAGTTTGTGTGTGTGTGTGTGTGTGTGTGTGTGTGTGTGTGTGTGTGTGTGTGTGTGAGTGTGTGTGTTTCTCTGTGTGTGTGTGTGTGTGTGTGTGTGTGCATTAAAGGATTAGGTGTTTGAGTTCGTATGTTTTTGCTTGTTTTTGGTATATGTGTAAGTATGTGGGAACGTGTCTATGTATGTGCGTTTTAGTGTGTGTGTATGTTCATGTGCATGCACGCGTCTGAGTGCTTGAAGACATGCTATATGTATTCTTGAAATTATTGTTCTACATAAACCATACATCAATGACATACAGTAAATCGGTGAGATCACAGTCAAATTTACTAGCATAATAATATACTCTTGTTTTGTTTTGTTGTAAAGGTTTAACGGCGCTCGATCGTAACTGCATAAGGTCATATATATTATATTAAAGGTGTTACAAGAGAGTAACAAATATAAAAAAGAAGGAGGGGAGATAAGGACGATATAATAATGTTTGATAGGAAAGAAGAAACAAACCACAGCAGAGCACCCACCAACAACCCACTAATAATATACATAAAAGTGCAGAGCAGGAACGTATCTGAAACCATCACTTATCACGCAAATGCCACTTCACTTATATATAGCGTTCTAGCCACTACATCCTGGAAATAATGGGGATATAATAGCCCTTGATGACACGTCGCGGTGTGCAAAGCCCGGCAAGTGATGACACTGAATGGTTTGCACTGCTGGAACAATAAAATTTGCTTAGTCTGAAGAACATAAGTTCTTCTTCATACCATTGTTGTACAAGTAAACAGCCGTCATTTTAAAAAATCTAAGCATTTACGTGTAAATGATACTCCATTAAAAGATAACGTTTGATTAGAATGCCTTTTTTAGTATTATTCTTTTTTTGAATAGCTGGCTTCCTTCGGCTTAAAAAAAATAAATGAAAAAATAAATATATATACTTAAAAGAACAACAACATTTTCTTTGTATATTTGCTTTGGTCCTTGCCTCACTGCATCTTCTTACTCAAATACTTGCTCACTTATTCGTCGCCTTCATATTTCTATCCTTTCTGCACTCAACCACTCACTCACTCATTTTCTCATTTACACTCAGTGGGGTTCTGTCCGTCTCTGCCTCTCCGCCTTCTTCCCATCCCCTCTCTCCATCCCCCCTCCCTCCCTCCATCTCTCCCTCCATCTCTCCCTCCCCTCCCTTCCTCCTTCTCTCCCTCCCCTCCCCCACTCACCATCAGCATCCTCCTCGTTGATCATGTCCTTGAGCTCGGCCTCTGTGAGGTTCTGTCCATCTCTGTCTCTCCCTCATTCCCTCCTCAACCCTCTCCATCCCTCCATCTCTCCCTCCCCTCCCTATCCCCTCCCCATCCCCTCCCCTC